TAATATACTAGTTGACCCGTTGCGCAAATGGCGCAGAGACCTGCTGAAGACACGTCGTCGATGAAAATAGTTTCATGCTGCAAGAACCTTCAATTAAATCATGTTATTTTTTAAACATGTTTATTACGTTGTTAAATAATAGTCTGGAAAAAAAAACTTTGCATAATATGAATATGTTCAGTTTGAAAATATGGCCACTATGATGAGAGAGTAAAGTTGGCATGGTTGTATTTTTTTAGCAAATTTGAAAACATGGTTATCATGATCAAAAACCTGGCCGGGCATCTTTTTCCTGCAAAAAAAGAGGGAAAAGATAAGAAACCTAAGAAAAAAACATGTCTTTGTTGTGCATATACGGAGATATAGGGATCAAGAGGTATTAGGATAGCCCATATGTTATTTAGCCCAGCCCACGTAGAGGGATGCTTGTGGCCCGTGAGGAGCTGAATATGAAGCGGCAGGGGGCGGATCTAGCGGAGACTGTCTATCCCCTTTCTTTCTTTCTCGGTTCCTCAGCTGGATGACAGAGGCGTTTCCTCAACCGCCGACCTGTGCGATTTCTCATCTGTTGCGCCAAATGGCGCAGAGACCCGCTAAAGCCATGTTGTCGATGAAAATAGTTGCATTTTGCAAGGACTTCAGTACTCGTTGTAGAAAGCCCATATATTAAACCATACTCTTTTGAAAATGTCTATCACATTGTGAAATCCAAGTTTGAAAAAAAATGTATAGCCGTTGCACCAAAAATTTATATTTGTATAACATTGCCCATTGCGCTAAACGGCACCAAGTCCCATTTAAAACCATGTACTTGCTAAAAATATTTGCATTTTTTTCAGTAACTGTTTGAGCAAATACATATGGTAAGAACTTAGTAAAAGTTTAATTGATTGTTTGTTTAAGCTCACATAAATGCAAGATGGCAACAACAAAGCACAATTGTATCATGTGCAACAGCAGCCAAAATTAGTTAGCTAATAAATTGTTTGAAGGAAACCAACCATTTCAGAGTAGTTTATTCCACATCTCATTCTCCTCGAAAATGAGCTCAAGCGGCCATCAACAAAAATACAATTGTTTTGATACAACAACGGTAAGAGAAATGAGTAACCATCAAAGAAACAAAATGTTTAAATTAGTTTTTTCAAACCATGGAGGAGATTTGCATGTGAACTTTATAGAAGAAGGCCAACGTCAAGGAACAACATGTTGACATACTCATCCTGCTCTCCATTCTTGTCATCAGTCCCGGTAATCAGCTCCTGACCAACACCTTCAGCAACAACCACGACAATGCCCCTTCTTCTTTATCCTTGCATATACAGGAACTCAATCAGGTCTCCCTTCCCTTGAACATGGAAATCAATCTCAAGCAGCAGCCACTGCTCAGAGTGGCATGAAGAGTAATGTGGCCGGTGCTCCTGCTCATTAGTATGACAAGACCGGTGCCATTCACAGCTCAACTTCCACATGTGCCGCGTTGATTGCTTGTTCACTACACTCGACAACACAGTTTAACATATGAAACTAAGCAACTAATCTACAAAAAAGCGTCTAATTGGCTACTTGGCATCCAACCATAAAAAAGTAAACTCACGAGCGAGAAAAAGAACAACATAGGCTTCATGGATCATGTCTTTGCTGCTCCTCATGCATCATCTCCATTGGATAGTTTTTTTTTCTGAACCACTGTATGAGGGACCTGGAAGAAAGCAAGACAAAAATATAACTCAGTAAATGAAGATTGCATTTTCCAGTATATTGAGAGCCAAGGCTTGAGGCGGCAACTAATATGTACAAAATGAAAGAAGCTATCAAAAGTGACCCAAAAAAGGAGAAGGGAAGAAGATTGACAACTGAAAACAAACACTAAGATTTGTAATTTTTTACCTCAAATTGAAATAGTAGGCTAGCTCAGATTCAAATATTATTAGCTCCACAATACTCCTATGTGCAACATCTGGATAAATAACCCATAGGGTAATCAAGAACAAGTTGGTTTGTCGTGTAAGAAGCATCACCAAGGTTACTAACGCCATTATGACTCCAGCTTCAGGAACGCGTAGTTTTTTGTAGAGAATAGTATGAGAAACAAATGAGATGTTTGATTTGCTGAGAATAAAGAACATCATATGCAATGTCCATAGTAAAATGATGTTGTAACTGGCTATCAGTAGATTATTACACAACACCCGTTGCGCCAAATGGTGCAGAGGCACCCTAAAGCCATGCCCGCGATGAAAAAAAAGTCATTTTTTAAGCCCCTCTAATAGGAAACATGATGGATCGCTGTGTGCAATGATATGAATATACACTTTTTAACTTAATAGTATAGTCTTATTTAAAACAAAATATATGTCTGGGCAAGCATGCATGTAATAAATGAAATATCCTTTAGCCCATGCTCCCTCACCGGTGCTCAGTGTTACATAGGGGGGAAGTGGAAGGATCCAGGAGTGGATCAAGGCGCCATCGACCTATATGACCTCTCCAACGGTGAAGTGGAAGAAGAAGGATCGAGCTGCCACCAACCACGATGTCGCACTTGACCTTGCCGGCACCGGTGACCCTCTCTCGTCTGTTGCTGCGCCTCTAGGGGACCCGTTGCTCCAAATGGCATAGAGACCCGCTAGATCCATGTGCACATTGAAAAGAAAATCTATAATTTAGTTGGTTTAATTATGGGCAAGCACATATAGTAACAAATTTATATATAAAAAGAATGGCAAGATCTATGTTGTTTCCGTTCCTAGGGGTCTATCCAGAATCATACAATCCATGTGATCAGTGTTGTTTTTGTCATCTTCCAAATATCGATATCTTATATTATCATCATTCAATTTCAATCCACTAAAATAATGATAGCTAGTTTTGTTGTAAAATCTGCCATATGATCCTATAACGTAATAGTCAGAGTTAGTTTTGATTAGTGATACAACATAGAATAAGTGTAATGGTATATCTGTGTAGAAGTGTCAGACAAAATACCTGTTTGAAATACTCCATAAAATTAAATGTCCACAGACAACAAGATGCCCTATATGATTACAAAACTTAAATATATTCAACAATTATTTCTACAAATTTTTATAGATACTTATATAAAAATATTTTAAAATCATCAACTGATCATGACTGTAACCAGCCTCGATGATAAAAGACCCGTTGTGGGCAAGTACATATGATAGTAAACATAATCTCCTTTAGTCAAAAAACGGTGTCTTAGTTTGTACAATGAGATATATATACACAAATTCTAATTTGGTGGTGTAAAGTACCATTCAAAACCTCTAGCAGATTTACACGTCAACACAGTATTGTGACTTGATCACTCTATGTTTATTGATAATCTATGTTATTTTAGGTTTCCACCACTGCTGAGCATGAGGGGAGCTCGCATGGATGATCCTGTGAACATTAGCTCTGACGAAAGTGTGGACAGTAGCTCTGCTGAAGCCTCGGACACGAGCTCTGATGAACATGTGGACACCAGCTATGGTGAAGACGCGGACACCTGCTCTGATGAAGGTATTTTCAGCAATGCTAAACTTCAGTTACGCGCAGGAAGATAAATGTATCTACAACCACAAACAATGCACTTGCAGAAGAAACGGAGAGCAAACCTTGAGGAGCAGAAACGAGCCGCGGGTCTAGGAACAGAGCAGTTCGTCTAACCTGCAAAACCGTAAGAACACAGGGACAACAATGCAAGGCACAACAATGCAGACATAAAGTGCATCTATCTATTAACGCATTAAAACATGTCTGAATGGTCATCCAATACATACAAAACAACAGGACGACATCACAATAATATTTTTAATCTAAGAGAATAATACTAAAGAAATGAATGGAAAGAGAACAAAGCTATAAAGCTTTTATTAATTGATGAGTAGCCTGGTTCTCTTCCCAGTAATAAATACGCGCAAACTGAGGAAGATGGCCACCAATCAATCTGACATGTTGTGATTTCTGCCAATCTAAGAGACACAGCCAGCCAATGTATTTTTATCTCCACTACTCCAATCTGATTGTAAGCTAATCTAGTGGAAAGAATAGAAAATAAATCATGCCAACATCATCATTAGCACACAAGCACACACACCCATGGTATATGCAGACAGCTAAACCATACACAAAAGTAGGCCTAGAACCAGAAAATACACCCACCAAATTATACCAAGCAAAAAAAGCACATACTATCAATTGCAGAGGCAGCAGCATATGCAAAACTCAGGACTCATAAGAAATGGAAAGAAAGAAGCTAAGGAGTAGTGCATTACCAGAAGGAAGAAGCACAGCCAGGACAACAATGAGCAAACGACAACCTGAGGAAAAAATTGGCCGGATAACTACGTGGCAGAGTAGGCTATAGATAATGAAGAAGCTGTGAACTGATAGTAAATTCCTAATATAGTGTTCCAAACGAACTTCAGACAACAAAATTTACTTTCTAAAAAGAAGAAACAAATCGACCTATTCTAGGCTAAACAAAAAAGGAAGATCATGACACTTCTATATAGAATTTGGTGGCTCACTTTTGCTAATTTTTTGCATTTCTCAGGTTAGAAAAGGTATTAGTTCACTTTGCAAAAATTGTACCGGTGTAGAAGTTCTTCTGTTTATTGCTGCAATTCAGTGCATATTACATTACAGAAGAAAAAACAAAACAAGTGATGATATGTCCGATGAAGAAAAAAGAACATAAGTTCACTGATTTTGGGAGTTGTCGCTCATGAACTAACACCAAAAAACGAACAGGGAGGCATACCACTAAGCATGCTATTGGTCTCGGAGCATCCACCAACCCCTATTGTTGCCGCCCGCCACCTGTCTGCCTTGTCGCGGCCCTCTACACAAGGAAAACAGATCATAGTTGCACACACAATAACATTTGGAGAAAGAACCTTGTATGGTGAGTATTTCCATACAGTAAACATTTTCTCAACAAAGAGGGACATCTTTCTCCCAACACAGATTAAAAAGCAAAAACAGGCAAATTAATTTTCTGAATACAAACCCACCAAGGTAAAAAAATCAAAATGAGGCACCCAGTAGAGCGGACAGGCGCCCAGTTGTTGCATGCTCGGGAGTGCTGGGATCCAGACCAAGGCGGCGAACAGGAGGGACACACTGATGACGAGGTCATAGACCACATAGGAGAAGGACTTGATCACCGAGCACTGGAAGCAGTGAGGAGGGATTGCCTCCTTGATCTGGGCTAGCGTGAATGTCGGCTTGTCCGTCGGCGCACGCTGGAAGATCTCACTAGCGCCAGCGCGACCGAGCAGCTCCTGCTTCTCCCGCTCCTCCATCATTCTGTCACCGGCACCCATGATGTCGCTGACAACAACAAAAAGCACTGGTAATCAGACACTGTGGATGAAGGTATATATAGTACTCCCTCCGTCCGGAAATACTTGTTATCAAAATGAATAAAAGGATATGTATCTAGACGTATATTAGTTCTAGATACATTCCTTTTTTTCAATTTTGATGACAAGTATTTTCGGATGGAGGGAGTATATCATTCAAGAACGTATATATATTCTACGTTGTGTGTGTATCTGTTTGTCAAATGAGGCTGAGCTAAACTTCAGTTCATGTTCACTCAAATTTTAGACCCAGTAAAAAAACGACAGGTTGGCTGGACCAGCTTTAATTCATGACAACACATGTCATTCAGTAAGCTGTACTTGGATAGTTAACTGATTGCCAAGCTAAGTAGAAAGAACTGAAACTGTAATTCAAGACTTTTGATTTGAAATTCGCCCAAAAATACAACTGATTCAACGCTGTAGGTCATGTGTCACCAATGTAAAGAAGAGCTTGCAATCCGAGCCAATATAAAAGACATGCATCGTCCATAATGTTGCAAAACAAAAATCCTGAATTGGCTGGAAAATTCAGACTAAAAAGATCGACAAGTACAGAGAAAGGATTGATTTTGACAAGAAAAACTACTACTACAAGCTGCAAGAAAAACTAGTACTGCAATTTAATAATTGCACTGTAAAAAGAGCTTATGTTTCACAGAAAAACTACTGCTACAATATGTAGATCTTTAGCAATGCTACCACCTCCAATGCATACATTTTATGCTTCCACAAATACCAGGGAAGCCATTTGATGCACCCATCTGCAGAAGCCTTGTAGCGTCCGCTTCATTTGGTACAAGGAGATATCTCTCTTCAAAGATCTTAATGACAACCTTCACAAATTTCTTCAAAACTTTTATGCCCATACTCTCTGCAACTGCAATCTACGCTTATCAAATTTCTTGAGCATTTAAATTTAAAGTAGCAAAAAAGCAAAACACACCCTAAATCATCACGCATAAACTGGTTTGAATTATGGATGTGCCAAATAAGAGGTTTAGCTAAACACATTACTACAACATAGTAGTTCTGAAATTATTACACATGGAGTAAGCATGCTAACCTCTCTCCATCCTACATTAGTGCAGACATTTACCAACATATATGTGGGAAAGACATGTGCCTAAAAGAGGGCAGATTCAAAAGTGGAACTTGTACGACATAGTAAGCAGTAAACACATAAACAAAGCAAGCATTTAAGCACACTTATTCACACCTTGCCTAATTCAGTGTTATACCAGTTTTCACGAAAGCATTCTAACTGACTCAATGACCCTATACACTGCATCTATCATTAAGTAGAGGAGAAGATCGTAAAGAAACAAAATAAAGGCATTCACCTGCATCATATCCCGCCTTGTGTTGCTATGAATATGAAAACCTCCAATAATTAAAGAATTCATAGTTCTGATATTAAGTTCGCTAGTTCTTGTCTGTCCCCATATGCATCGCCTTCTATACACATCGAAGGTTCCTCTGGTAGTCATCATGGTAAAAGGGTTGAGCAAGCATTGGAATAAATTTCTCATGTAGTAAGACCTTGAACTGCAAAGCAGCAGTAATCAACGGCTCGAGCAAGCACCAGATCATCTTGACAACTTTACATGCAGCCACACCTTGCAACAAAGAGAATACAAACATTAAAAACAAGAGAACAAGTTATGAAGAAAACCTCACAAGGCTACCAATAACGGAGTCCTAATATGATCATTCAGTTACTATCATCTTATATATGAAAATGAGATATTATGACACAGTGGCAGGAGCAAGTGGTAGTGGATCAAGCTTTCTAGTTCAGGCACTTACATTGCAATAATCTGACTTCCTCCTTTAAATTGTGATTGAACATACTTAATTAAGGGAGTGTCTGTTCTAAAACCAATGAACAAGCCTGAATAGGAATGGTTCCAGTAGACTTGATAACTCATTCAGGCCTAACTGACCTTGAAGCGCTGCTCCCTGGAGCCATGATCACCACACCAAGAACTCGCGGGAGACATGGAGGAGCACGTCACAACAATGCCCTTGCAGATAACTCACGATACCTTCACGCCAATGCCTCCAACCTGCAGATGAGGCTTTTCTGATTAGGAACTGTATGGTAAAGAAACAAAATTTATCTGTTCTAACTGAGTCTCAAAAGTGATCAAATTGAAACATATTCAAAATCCATAAAAAAGTAACAAAAACTGGAACATGTCCAAAAACTATATAGCTCTAATAAAAGGATGCCTTTAACCACAATAGCCAAGAAAGTAAACAAATTCTTGTGGATTAACTTGGTGACTTAGACAAAGATGAGATCTGGAAACAATAGTGGAATAAAGTGGTCATTCTCACAATGTTCATGGAACTGAAACCACCATGAGTACCATTGTTGAAATTACGACAAATCCCATTATTCCAAAGTAGAGTCAGTGCAGTTCTTGTTAGCAAAAGTTTAATAGGTCTAAATAATCATTAATATAACACACCATATGTTGAGTGAAATCTGTCTTTTGGGTTGAGCAATTAAATAACTACAAAGATCTTGCAAAATCACAACATAACAAGAATCTGAAGCTTTGTTGAGTCCTTTTTTCCTGTAAACATAAAGCTTGATGCCAGTAACCTTACCAACGCCCAATCATAAATCGAATGGTGATTTCCTTCTCCTTTTACATTTTTGACATTGCCAACTCAGTTATCCCAAAAAGTTCCTAAGCCTTGAGGCACCCATGGCTTCCTTCCATCTTCACCGGCTGGTACTGGACAAAGGGAGTCCATCCCCCTATAGCTAGCCTACAGACCGTCCCTGCTCCTGAAGAGTAAGAATTAGCAGCAGGAAGAACAGACTAAAAAATAGGGTCAGATATGGGAAGAGTCATTTCACCTTAGCGTGGAAGGCAAAAATTCATGGAAAGAGGAATGCAGCGGTGAGAAGCACTTGGGAGGTCAGTGGCGAGAAGGCCATGGCGGCATCGTTGACGCAGGACAGCGGTGGCATGGGTAAAGGAGGAGCCAGCGCCCCGACCATCCGTGGCGTCCCCTGCATCGACCTCCTCCCCTCTGCTCTAGCGATGACCAGCCCCAGTGCGGGCTATGCTGCTCTGGCGACCCCAAACTCCTTCTGGCCTCACGCATCCTCACCCCCTCGTCCAACCCCCTCCTCTGCGCCCCCCGGGGAGCCCCTCTGCATGTATCCAAGGCTTCCCCTCGCGGCACGGCCCCGCGTCATAGACAAAGAAGCCGTCGGCGCCCTGAAACCGAACCCCCCAGATCGGGGCCCGGAGTAGCCGCTCCCGCTTATGTCGTCTCGCGCCCGAGCGCTGCCGCTTTGCTACTCCACGCCGCCATCGGAGCATCTCCGCCGCCGCTGCTCCTCTCGCGCTGCGGCCGACGCAGAGATTAGGAAGGAGGAGTTAGCTAGAAGAGAGAGGAGGAGACGAGTGGGTGTGGCGGTGGCAGGGATCCGGGAAGGAGGAGGGAGGAGGAAGAGAGGAATGGGGTGTGGCGGCTGTGAGAGGGGGGAGGGAGGAGTGCGTGGCTGTGGATTGGGAGCTAGGGTTGGTGCGGTCCTGCCCAATGGACTCCTCGCTCCAACCCCAGGCAGGCCACGGGACGCGCGACGCGGGGCGCGCGAGGAGAGGCTCACCCGGTCAAAAATGACCCGCTGTTGACCCGGCCACTTCAAGCATGAGACGAGCCCACTTGTCATTGGGCAGTAAAATGACTGCAAGGTGAAAAATGATTTAACTGCATGTGAAGATCCAACGGTGCAACTGAGTTGGAGGGGCAGATCAAACGGCCAACGAGGCCCCAATCGGGAGAGCCTTCTGGAGGTGAGTTGGCTAGCCTCATTATTGTTTTAAATTACTAATGGCGCACACTACTAGGAAAAGGGCTATAGATGGGATGGACACTAATGGCGCACTGTACATGTGGTGCGCCATTA